TATATATATATATATATATATATATATATATATATATATATATATATGTATATATATGTATATGTATATGCAGTTCTCTAGAGCGAATAAAATAGCGTGTGGCAACCAAACCAACTGATAAAGAATATGATCGGTATAAAGGTCTGGGAGCACCTTACGCTCGTCCCTATTCTACGAAAGATTTTTCGATGAACTTCTTGAATATTTTTCGGAAACACGTTCGGCCCTGTTTTCACCCCCAACCAAAATGAACTCCGTCCCGGTCGGGGGTCTGACGATCAACTCGATTCTGTCTTCGGGCTTGCACTACTTGACGTTTTCTTCTAGGCTTGAGGCTTCTCAGCCGGAAATGAATTGCAGATCATATTCTTTGTCACAAGCAACCGAGAAAACCTTCTGACTCTTGACAATGCGAGCAAGATAAACGTGTCTTCAAATATCTTGTCTTCGACTTTTCAAAACTCATTTTTTCAGAGTGAAACTTCAAACTTCCCTCTATCATCCAATACCTCTTGATTCAAAACCTTATAAACAAACAAACAGGTTAGAGAACTTACTTGTACCAAAGCTCGTTATTATTTTTCTGTGTTTTTTTTTTTTTTATATCTTTGCGTTTCGTTTTCCTGCTTTATTTATTTAGGTTTACTTTATTTTTTTTTTTCGTTAAAGAGAGAATTTTTCACATTTTTTAAAAGATTCTAGTCAACGGCTGGAATACAACTGTAAGCTAGAGACAACACAAATATCGAGCACTCAATTATATTCCAGCTCACATTATAGCCTGTATTATTACACAATTGAAACCTTATCTTCATAACATTAAGAGGAAGAGATATAAACTTATGAAAATAAGGTTTTACATCTATTCTAACCTTACTGGTTTTCGTGCAAACGGTATGCTACACTTTACTACATTTTACATTTTTCTTTTTGTCAATAGTGTTTATAGTATATACTGTATAGTAGATACTGTTTATAGTAGTGTAACTAAAACGCTTGCGAGATTGTATATCTGCATACGGATGCAGGATTAGGTAAGGTAAGAATAGTAATATAATGTGATTTTGTTAATTTAATAATTTTGACCCGTTGACGAAATATTTGGGTCAAACTCATCGGATCTTCCGAAAGGACCTGGCCTCGCATCACTTGCATGACTAATAGCGTCCTGAAATTCATTAAGCAACAAAAAAACCATGATTGTTTACGCAAGTTACGGATTGCTGCTTAGCTACTACCGTACGATTTATCGAGCGCATTTCTCTGATGCTCCCGTCTGCCGATTTCTTGCTAACTTAAGTGCTTACTTTGTAATCCAATTAACATTACCGTTTCGATAAATATAAGCGGTCTACGAAAATATGAATCCGAAAGAAGCATTATATTGTAAATGGCTCGACGAATTTTTCAACGTAATAAGATATATCGCGTGCAAAATCGTCTCTTGAAATTAATAGTAAGCAGCATCGATATATATATTAAATATTTTAATTTTTTTTTAAGTATTTTACGCAATATATTAATTTCTTTTAGATTTCATAATTTTCATAAATATCTTCAACAAAGCAGTTAATTAATGTATATAACACAGCAAGATGCCCGGCCGTAACAAAGAATTATGATGAGAAGTCATGTCTTTCTCTAGAAAAATAAACGTTATGAAACATGCGAGAATTCTTCTCCACGTAAAATTTTCGTGTAAAGTGTTCAGTAAAACAAAAAAGTGAGATAAGAGAAATAAACGTACATTACAGTAAGCACCGTTGTGCAAGAAATTACGAAAATATGAAGTTTTTGCTAGATAATTTGCAGTTTTATACATATACAGGGTGTCCCGAGGATAATAAAATTGCAGCATAAAAATTCGTGAAAAATTTAAGTAATAAAAGGGCATGCCGTTTTTTTTATAAAGTAGTTTCTTAAATATAAAGGTTTAAGGTATAATCAATACATTGGTTAAAAAGTATGATCGTGCAGTAGTATGCGTACAGCGGCAACGTTTTGTTTGACATCTAATTATCTAATACCATTGCGCGCACGACACACGGACAGATGGCTTTTTAATCAATGCTTACGATTGGTTATACCTTAAAACCTTTATATAGAAACTACTTTATAAAAAAGTGGCATGCACTTTTATTAATTTTTTTATTAATCAATTTTTCACGAACTTTCATGCAACTTTATTATCCTTGAAACACCCTGTATATAGACGTATATAATCTCGTGTTCTAACATAAATTTAGTACAAGGATGAGACACATATATCCATGTAGACAGCTTATATTGCAAATTGCAAATTTAAGTGGGCGTTGTACTTACGCGGCGAATAGGAGCGCGATCTAGAGCGGTCGTAACGTGAACGTCGACGGCTGTAGTATGGGCTGGGTGAGCGACGATAACTTCCTCTGTAGCTAACTCTATTGTTTCCAGTATTAAAAAAAATAAAGAATTAGAAAACGGAAAAAAGAGAAATAATGTGTCAATTATTTTTTTGACTTATTATTTCGAGAGGACTTAGACGACTTACTCTCTACGTCTCGGAGCATCCCAGTTTCTGTCATGCAGATGCGTAGGTTTTCCCATGTATATTCCCGGAGTAGGAGTATGAGCGCGTTGCGTAATAGAGAAGTCTACTCTGATTCGTCTCCCGTCAATTTCCATGCCGGTGCATTGGTCTTTAGCCACTTTAGCATCCTCGGACGATTCGAAATATACAAAGCAAAATCCTCTAGAGCGTCCAGTCTGTAAATATGAATTACATGTGGTACCATTAAACTGCGCTATCACTAAGTTGTACTAACTTCTAATTTACACGTAGATTTATATTAATATGTAATTATGTGGCCAGAAGCCTTTAACGTATCATGTGTCTCTTAAGAATGAACGTTCTAAATTTCTGGCGCAGCTTTATTGTTCCCCAGTGTAAACACCTATGTGGGGACTGTCGCGTACTATATTAATATATGAATAAACATACATGAATACATCAAGTCTCACATACCTTTGCATCGATAACGACCTGTACTCGTTCTACTGGGCCATATCGCGAGAATATATGTTGGATTTGCTGTTCAGTCGTGAAAATTGAGAGTCCGAAGACACCTAGGCAACGGGAAGGGCAAGGATTGTCGCGATTACCAATGTGCCGCCGCCTCGATGACATCGGGCTGCGTGAGTGTGACCGGTACACGTGTCGGTCGCGAGAGTACCGCGACCGCGAGTACGAGCGAGATCTACTACGGGAGTAACGACTGCCGCGGTATGGCGAACGACTTCGGCTGCGGCTACTACGGTGACCAACGGTATACTTGCTGCCCCGATACGACTTGCGACCGCGTGACGCGGATCGACTACGCGACCTCGAGTATTTGTTGACCTCTTTGTGCTCCTTCCGCTCGCGCGACTTACGCGATCTCGAATGCGATCGCGAGTCTCTTAGGCCACCGTCCGCAGTTCGTGGTCGACGGGGGCTTGCACTGCGACTGCCACTTCTCTGCAAATTAAAACACAACCGTTACCGCAAGTTATATCATGTATATACAAAGATGATACAAAATTGAATTATCATTATATTTTACATGATAAATTAAATTGAGAAAATGGGACATAAAAAAAATGTGATAATATTTAACACACATGAATTATACACACATGATAATATTATACACATATAAAAACATTTAATTTAACATTTAAATATATTATATTTATTTGTGTATTTTTTAATATCTTTTATTTCTTCTGTATATATAAAAGAAATATTCACAATGGAGTTACAAGCAACTAAAGAATTAGCAGATTAAAGAAGTATAATATTTATGATATTTTATAATATCTTTCTTTAATCCACTAATTCTTTTATTGCTTAAGGAGGATGATTGCTCAATCAATATGATAAGAATTAGTTCAAATTTATGGAGGATATTCGTCTATGGAAATCTGTCGTCCATGCCAAAGTGTAAGCCAACTGTCTTTATAGTTTAGTTGTTGAGTAATTAATCACTAAAGTTATACTTATTGGCGCCCATTTATCAAAGCCGAATTTGAATTAATTCTTATCAGATTAATTTGAGCAACCACTCTCCTTAACTCCATTGCGAGAACACACATATTTTTCACACACATATAGAAGAAATAAAAAGTACTAATTAATACTTCAATAAATATAAATGCATTTAAATGTTAAATTAAAAGTCTTCATGCGTCTAATATTGAAATGTTAAGTAATATTTAAAACTTACGATAAATTTGCAAATGGAAAACAGAATGTTCAATGTCTAAGAGGACAGAACTGAGTTCTTCAATAGTAATGTAAGCTTTACTCCAAAAGATAACTTGTAACTTTCCAAGGTATGACAATGTTTGGCATTCTATATAAACAAATATATCACAAGCTAATAAAGACAAATAAAGACCTTCTTGTAAATTGAACTTCAGATCAAAAAGCATTTGCGGAAACATTTCATTTTCATCAGAATAAATACATATGTATACAAATCTAACCTAGAAAATATATATATATATATATATATATATATATATATATATATCAAATCAAATTAGAATTAAATATATATTTTCTAAATAGCGAATGTTACCAACGATAACAATCGCCAATGTTCTAACATATGAGCGCGACCGACCAATCGCGATTCAGCTATTCACGTTTATAACCTTATAAAGCGCTTTCGCCGAGATCAAAATCATCGTCGGCGAATCGTCGGGAATTCGATATTGCACATTTTTTGCAAGACACATTCCGCAATTAGCGGCAGCGAACGAGTCGCGCGCGTCGAGTCATGACGAACGCCGCGTGGTACCGATAATGGCTGGGAGTAGGAACTGCGCCGCTGGATCGATAATGGCCGTGCCGAGTCGCGTTATTTCGTCGCGTTTCACGCGACGACGGTTCGCGAGTCGGTTGCGCGAGGATCCGCGATTTTTCGGCACTCACCTCGATATCGCTCATCGCCAAAGTCCCTCGACCGTGGATCTGTGTCGGACAGAAAACGAAATGCGTCGCCACGCGCTCCGTTTCCTCGGTAGACTCTCGACAATCGACAAATAATATGGCGTGGAAGCCTCGTCGCAGGAAACGCCGGGCTCCCCGCACTGCCCCGCAGTCCGCAGTCCGCACACGAATGAACACACCAACATCCGGCGGCGTTACCATGGCAACGCGTGGACGTGGACGCGCCGCGGTCGCGGTTTTCGCGCGGCGCGTGCGCACGAGGCCGTGGCGACGCCTGGGTACTTTGTTAAAATCTAGTGACTTTAGCGACGGAGATCACACTGCGCCCATGATGACTGCGCAGTGCGCGCCGGCCTGCGTCCGCGCCGCTCGCGGGATAGGAATATAGGAAGGAGTAGGACTCTAGTCCACGGGAACAGACGGGAATGACGGGAACGGCAAGGAATGGCGGCTAACGGCTAGTGTATCTCGCGATACATTTACAACGCGCATTGTGTGTCTCTCTCTCTCTCTCTCTTTTTCTCTCTCGCGAGTTCTGGGTGTCGAGCGACGTTCACGTTAATGTTCACGTCAAGCACGTCAACTATGTGACTGTCCGGCTGAGAAGGCCGGAAGAGAGAGGTATTCTCCCGCTGTCGCGTACGTTCACGGTTCACGCGCGTCCAGGTGAAGGAACGTACACTTGGCCCCTATCGCGGTTTCGTTCTTTTCCTCCCTCGAGCTTGTGGCTTGTGTGGCTGATTAAAAACATCCCTGAAGATATATCCGTTGGCCTCCGAGCCTGTGCAGCGACGCTGTCGCTGAATTGGCACGTACGAGTCTCCGCAGCGTCGTGATTGCTCCGGCCAGCGTTGGTTACGATAACTGTTGGCGATCACGTAACGGTACAATTTTTTGTCTCAAAAATATTTATTTTGAATAATTAAATTCGTTGATTCTATTCAAGTGTTATATACGTACTGCTTTGGTTTTCGCTTTGTTTTGTGTATATACTGGTTACTATGTAGTACTAAATTGGCATATACAAAAAAGGCCTAGTTTACACCGATCTCTTGATACGCGTGTCAAATGGTATATTTTTGAGCTGATCAACCAATAATCAAACTAATTTACTAGTTATTTACTATTTAATACGCGTATCAAGTGATCGGTGTAAACTAGGGCACAGTTTACATAGGAGTGTACGTACTATTCTTAACCTCGTTGCCTTACAATCTCTTGTGACTGTGGACGTGCTGTCGGTTGGATTGTCAAGATAAATAGAAATGTTCAGTCAGTACGTTTAATTTTTCTCCGATGATTATTATGTTTTGCATATATATATATATATATATATATATATATACACATATATATATGGAATATTGGATAGCTCAATGTTACAGCAGTTACTTGTCCAGCAAAAGATCTAGATTTGATTCTCAGATGATTTAGAATTTTATCTGAGAAAATGTCTGATATAAGAACTAAGTATCCTAAATACAAACTTAATTGCAAGATAACCTAGGGAGTGAACAATCTCAGTACTATTTCTTGGAGGATAATAAACAATTGTAACAATAAGCTTTAAAAAAAAAGTTGGAGTCTCTAGAATAAAGATTGAATAAGGAGCTTACGATTTTTTGTGCTATTGATGATATATATATATAAAATTATATAAGAAATGTATTGTAATGTGTCCAGTTATTACACAGATTGAGTTGTACCCACGTTTGTTATATTTAGATAAAATCTATATCATTGGTGAGATTATTATATTATCTAGACTATGTTATCTGGCACGAGTTTGATTTGAAATTGTAAGACAACGGGTTAAAAAAACTCTGCGTCAAAATATTCACGTATATTTTCATAATTTTTGCAGGCAAAAATGTCAGCTGAATACAGTCGAAACGTTTTAAAAATAGTCGTTGCACAGATTTGTCAGACGATAGGATGGCACTCCATTAATTCTACACCATTGGAGTTTCTGGTAGATCTTCTGCAAGAATATCTGTTACGTATTTCCAAGCTCACACATCAATATGCGGAAGTTTGTGAGTAACTGTTATATTAATTTTGACAGTGATTGCCTTGTGTGTTGTCAAGGTCTTTTGCTTTCTTGTCTTTTTATATATATATATTTTATGAAGTAAAATATTGAATAGTTTTTGGATACTATTATCAAAATTTATATTCTTAAAGTTTCTTAACATGGACAGATGAGTTATCTCACGTTTCATATTCCATCGTTAAAGACTGATGACGAGATATCTCGCATTTTTTATTCATCAGTCGAGAACAGTAACTCAGTAACATAACGGTGATTTTTAATTGTGGACAAATCATAAGTACCTTAAAAATATTTTATGTAAAAACATAGCCGGCTATGCAGTAAAATGTCTGATCCACAATGTGTTAAGAGAAAACTAAATAAATTATTTACTTGTTACACTTACTGAGTGATGTTAATACATATATAGATATTTTGGATTTATTATATTTTTACGTTTTTACAGTGGGAAGGACGGAACCAAATCTTGACGACTTAGGGTTAACATTTCAATATATGAATATTGACATACAAGAATTAGCCGAATACGTGAAAAATGTAGATTCTGTTCCATGTCCTATACAAGTACCTAAGTATCCAGTTCGACGTGAGAATCATTTGAATTTTTTAAAACCGGGTAGTCGTGAAGTAGTCACGAGACCAGTACACGTACACGAACATTTACCAGCTATGTACCCAGATACCGAAGGTAATGAATCATATTTTCTTTATTGGGTAAACTGCAATAATTATGTCAGTTTCCATTAATTTACGTTTTATCGATAATATAATAATGATTGCAGAGGAATACATATCAGATAAGAATGAAAGTTTAATGAATGGCACGGCAGACTTGACATCCAGTAGTGGGACATCGTCGGGCAATTCGAATAACGCATCACCTCACAGAATGTCGCCACAGGTGGTTTTTAAACGACCGGGCGATCCGGTGTCTTTTGAAAGCCCCGTAGTGAAGCGGGCGAAGGTTTTGGAGGAGGGCAGACCGTTACGTGAAATAAGCAGCGTTATGATGACCACCTCTGGTTTTTTATCACCCGCGCGAGAAGGAAAGCTACCTGAATCGAGAACGCCGCATCAAGTCCGATCGGATTCACCGCAACCGAGTTCCTATCCGATGGTGCCACCTGAACTGAAGACCGACAAGAAACCGAAGAAGGTTGTGAAGAAAGGTCCCGAGGATCGTAAGCTTGACAAAGAGAATAAGAAGAAGAAAGGCGCGAAGGAATTGTTCAAGCCGGACAAGATCGATGAGAGTAAAGTAAAGAAATTAGTCGGCATGAAGGAGTTGGCCAAGTTAAAACCTTTAAAGCCAGGTGGTGGCAAGGCACAATCTACCACGTTACAAGAACTCACGGGTAGCAGGCCATCCACGCCGAAGATCGCGTCACCTAAATCAGCCGCCAGTAGTCCGAAACCGTCGAAGGCGACGCAGCCGAAGGTCAAGCCCGACAAGGTAGATCTGACGGACGGTCCTCCTGCCGTCGAAAAGAAGGAGGAAACCGTTGACAAGTTGCCGTCGGAGCCGGATAAACAAAAACTGAATATATTCAAGAAGATATCGAAACCGCGCGAGGAAAAGGACAAGGACAAAGAGACGACGGAGCCACATAAGCACAAGGAGATTCTTGAGTCGCGCGAAAAGTCGCCGGATTTGATCATAGATATCGAGAATGCGGAGAAGCATGCGCACCGTAACGACGCGGACCCGAAAGCAGGACGCGAGGAGAAGAAGACACCTCATACACCGGACGTGCACATACAGTCGGACAGTGATTTGGCAGACGTGCAGAGTTTATCGTCAGATGTTTACATGTTCGACGACGCTGACATTTCACCGCCGGGTACGCCCAGCACGCCGAAAACCCCCGAATTGAGTGTACCCACGGTACCGGAACAGAAGCGAAAGAAGAAAGAGAAGAGTGGCAAAAAGAAAGAACCTAAATTGAAGAGTCCGAAACAAAGTAGTCCGAAAAAGGTAATATATGTTTTACAGGACAATTACTCATCGAACTACGTGTACATAGTATCAAAAAGAGTTATACGTATTTTATATATTTCTTAAATTAATCGCAGTCGATTTTGTTCCCAGCGATAATTCGATTGAGTATCACATTTTAATATGCTTCTAATTTTCAATATTAGTATATCTTGCTGGTGATTTGCTGTTTTTCAGACGAAACCTTCATGTGATACGACAGAATCGGATATACCAGATCGGCCCAAAACGCCGCAGGCACCCGAACCACTACACAGAGACCCTATTCTTCCGATCACACTTCCGTTCCCTTCCCTCCCCTTTTTCCCTCCGTTTCCTTCGGCACCCGGTTTAATTCCCCCGATGTTCCCGCGGTTTCCGTTGCCGCTTGGCCCCCGAGGTGGGCCAGGTCCTCATCCCGCTATGCCCAATTTACCATTACCACCACGTTTTTCTAACCCACCCGTAAAGCCCGAGGACTTCCCGTTGCCTAAAATTAAACCCGTGGAACGTGAGAAGCCACTGATCCCTCCACCGGCCGAGTTAACATCTCCGTCGATTCTAGGCGAGAATGAGAAGGCGGACAAAGAGAAGGTGGATAACAAACTTACGAAAATGTTTAAGCCAAACAAAGAATTGCCTTTCATGAAAGTACCTGAGAGGGTACTGCCTGTAGGCGCTGCACCGCCTATAGTGTCTGCACCTGTCGCACCAATCACGCTTCCCACACCAACAGTACCCGTCGCGCAAATGCCACCATCGAAAAACTCTAAAGCTGAAAAAACAGAGAAGAATGATATGGTAAATTCGACAAGAGACCATATCTTGTTAGATATTTCGATTATATTTTATTAAAATATATATATTTTGGAGAAATGTCCCGATGAAGATAATTCCTATGCACGATAATATTATTCATTTATATCCATCATTTATACCATATAATTACTACGCTCTATCTTAATCAATTTATCTAGTAGTTTTTACGCATATAAAAGCTATCAGATTAATTTGATTAAACTAGAGTATAATAATTGTAATTTCACATATACATATATTTATAACAGTTTATAACTATTTTTAGAAGTCTAAGGAACATAAGAAAGAAAAGAAG